TTCAGGGTCAAGGAGACAGACGAAGACTCTGTGGACGGATCGCCGAAACACAAGCACCCGCACAAGCTGGTCGCGCAGCGGCCAATCACGACGCAGCGATCGCCGAAGCCTCTCGTAGTTCACTTCAGCATTGTCCTCGAGAGTCTGACGATTGGTGCCTCGTTGCTGCCCTCTCTACGCGCGCAGTACATGGTAAAATCATGAACCATGCAGAATTTAATGTAAATTAATGTAGATTCAAGTAGCCACAAGCAATCGATCAGATTTCAATAGACACGCTCGCATTGCGTTTAAAAAGTAGCGATACCCACCCTTATCTATGCATGTGTGAATGGATTTGATGAATCGGTGTGCTCGGAAGGTTTAGGTATGCGTCCGGTGTGTTTGTAGATGGGGAAAACGACTAGTACTGGCATGACAGGCAGCAAGGGCATCTTCGTCGTTGATCTGCCGGCTCATCGACTCTGCTTCGTGTCCAAGGTTTGTTCTCTTGTTTACGTTGCATTACGTTACATTACATTATAACGTTAAGTTTCATCTGATAACCATCCATCTTGTGTGTTGCAATGTCTTGCATCACGTAGCAAGAAAATATTCTAATCTGTGGCAGTGTAACAACAAGCTGTCTTTTTCTGATGATTTTTCCGAGGAATACCGTATAATCTAATCTAAACATGTCATATATATATATATACCTGATAGTAAACAACCAACTGCACCTGCAGCACCGTTGCCCAAAAACACCTCATTCCATACTATTCTCTCCCGTAGGTGTCAGCACCAGACACGAACATCCCGCCTCCGTCTGCCGATGTGGTGCTGCCCCCTGTGTTGCTGAGCGCGGACTACCGGGTGCCGGAGCCGGGCGTGACTGCGGCGGAGCAGTCTACTCTGGCGGAGGGGATGGTGCTGAGGGAGGGGAACTATGTAAATGCCGTTGCTAAGATAGGAGCGTTCCAACACAGCCTCACAACCGACCTTCTAAACCATCTCATGTTCGTGCAGAAAGTGTTCATGAAGGTAGGTGTCCCGCCCGCGTACGCGTGAGAACTCTTCGTTCAAAATTAGCATGCAGGGAATAAAACCGATATATCTGTTGTGTATGTGTTTGTGCGTGTGTGTGTGTGTTCACACATGCAGAGGTCCCAAGTTGGGAAAATCCAAGAAAGGGAGCCAGCAATCCAAGAAAGGGAGCCAGCAATCCAAGAAAGGGAGCCAGCAATCCAAGAAAGGGAGCCAGCAATCCAAGAAAGGGAGCACTTGTGATAATGGTCCATCGCCGTTTTTTCGCAGTGCGCAAAAACAGGAAAAAAGTTGTGGCAGGGGCTGCGATATGTGTTTGTCGCCGCACACTACCATTTTTTATAAAGTATACATGTAAAATAAAATGCAAATTCATGTTAATTTATGGGTTCACTTTTATTTATTATTATACGAGTATATTACACATTGGTTGCATCACATTAATGCTTGACATTTGTGGCCTTTTATTGTTCGCTGGAATCAAAGTACATCAACAACAATGGCAAATTTAGTAAATTTACTGATGTAAATTTTCATATGGCTGAAAAATGTTACGACCGGGAGCTTCTGGACTCATTCCGGGGCACCGGGAGCAGCGTGTCATACCGGGAGGATCCCGGTGAGACCGGGACACTTGGGACATCTGCACGTGCGCTTGGGCATGGACATGTTCACAATGTTTTCACCTCTCATACAATAACACGTCGATGAGTCGATCACATGAGTAATTACTGGATCGTTAGCAAGTTCGTTAACCGCGCGTCCGTTTTGTTCCCGTGTTGTTCAGGAGATCAACGAGGTCGTGCAGAAGGTGTCGGGCGGTGACCAGCCCGTCGCTGTGTGGAGTGACTTTAGTCGGCTGTCGTCTAAACCCGACGCAAGCAAGCCGAAACACCTGCTCTACTCCATGCAGTTCCGCCTGCAGGTACGCTCTGTCATATATTATATATTTATTATGTATTTCTATTATTATACGAAAAATATAGTCCCGCAGCTGCCGACAATGTGTCATCTACGTTAGTTTCTAGAGATTTCGTAAGTATGCCCTTGAGGTTGACATGGAAACACCTGTCTAATGACACTGCAGCTCTAAAACAATTTCACATCACGGTTGTGTGTTGCAGTTGTTGCTGTTGTGTAGCACATAAACACACTTCATGGTAATATGATTGGTAGTTGTTTCAGGGCGTACAGGTACTTAAAGTAACAGCATGCGCTATAATCATTGCAGGGTGTACAGATACTTATTGTAACAGCATTAGTCATCATCGTTACAGGGAGTACTAGCACTTAACGTAACACCCATTGTCATCATTACAACGTATACAAGTACTTAAGGTAACAGCCATCATCATCATCATCATAGTAATGTATACAGGTACTTAAGGTAACGGCCATGATCATCGTCATGGTAATGTATACAGGTACTTAAGGTAACAGCCATCACCATCGTCATTGTTACAGGGCGTACAGCTACTTAACATAACAGCCGTCGTCATTGTTGTCATGGTTACAGGGCATACAGATCACGGCGACGACACCGACATCGACGGCGGTACGACTGGAGACGGGAGAGGTGGTCATGGATCTATCGAACAGGTTGCAGAGTTCAGCTGCCAGCAGACAGTGCAGCAACCCTCTAGTGAAGCTGTTCGGCAAGCTACAGGTCTACATAGAGGTCACACTAGGTCAGCTACTCAAGGTAGGATAGCTTATTATAAGGCTGTGATAGCTAAGGAGAAATGTGTGTATAGATTATAGCTAGAGAGAGGTGTGTATAGATTGTAGCTAGAGAGAGGTGTGTATAGATTATAGCTAGAGAGAGGTGTGTATAGATTGTAGCTAGAGAGAGGTATGTATAGATTACAGCTATATAGCTATATATCGATTATAGCTATATAGCTATATATAGATTATAGCTATATAGCTATATATAG